GGTTAATATTTGTCGCGCAAAGTCACTTTTCGCGACGAATTTTGTTTCGTCGCGCAAGGGGTTTTTTTTAGTAGTGTGTATTCGAATCCCCCATCACTCCAGTATCGCTTGTTTCAAAAAACGAAAAAGAATCTTAGGTTTGCTAGTTCAGGGCTAGGCCCAACTTCGTTTTCATTTTGGGTCACCAACTTCATCAATAAGTAACACAGCCTGCCATCAATGCTGAAGAGTGCTGTGCTTATGGCTGATTGTCATCAGCCCATATATTTGTTAAAAGCCCACCAAACGAAGTTGATGGTAGGTTTGATCCAACCCAACCTCAAAAGCACTTCGGCATTGGCACACTACTTAGTATTAATGATTTGATACGTACTAATACTATGAGGCCCAACCCAATCACCAAATTCTTGGCATTTTGCTGCATGGATATTCTAACAACATTTGCTAAGAAACCAAACATTACTTTGAAAAAAACAGTCACAAAATCGTTGCAGCCTCATTGTACCTTTGCAGGTTGCAAAAAGAAGAAGAAAATAGAGTAAAAACAATTACATTTGAACAATTCAATTGAATGAATATATTTCTGCGATTGAAAACTCCGCCATCAAGACTTTGAACAATCACACGAATCTCGAGGCATCTCCCAATCGCATCAATGTAGTATTGTTGATCATCAAACCATCTTAGAATATATCGAGGATCTCGAGGATCGAACGGTTGCAGAGGGGACAAGACCCTCGATTCAACCACACCTCCCTCGAACACACTCTGCAAAAGGTGTGCCCACATGGGATGAAAGCTGCACCTTTCTTCCTACCCATGCACACGCAGCACACCGTATCATTGCCCACCCCTCCCTCTGCTTTGTCGCTCTCTGTCGTCGCACCACCAAACGCATCACAGCCGTCCACTTCCGTTTCCTCCAGCAATCTCATCAACGACACTCTCGTCGGCGTGCCAGGTACCGTTACTCCCGCACTTCCGTCACCCGCGGGCCCCACCACCGACCCTCCTCCGTCCGATTCTTGCGGTGCCCGAAACTGACGCTCGGCTGCTAAGGCTGCAGCCAAGTTCATGCCCGACCCAGTCGAAATCGGACCCACGCAATCCGGATCCCAATTGTTGACCGTTTGAGCCTGGCCCACCACACTTACAACTCGTTGTTGTGGTGGTAGTGGTAGATGATGTTGCTGATGATGGTTTTGTGGTTCTTGGTCGTCCTCATCGCCATCTCTTACGCTTATCGCCGCCGTTCGTCCAAAAACCCAGGCGGCCCCACAGCAGCCAAACCCATTCAATCTGAGCCGTTGCTTGAAGGTCCTCCTCCCGCCGCTCGCTCCATCCGTATCGTCCATTTGTTCCCTCAGAATTTCAAGAACAGTTCTTGCTTCCCTCTCTCGACGCACCGTTTCCTGCAATATGACACTGAGTTGACTCATTCTTCAACACCCACCCACCAAACCGAAAAGAAGAAACACAGAGAAACACAGAGATAGAGCAGAGAAAGAGAATTGTTGTAAGGAGGAGATGAAAAAGACGTACAGGTCTGGATTAAAGAGAGGGCTCTGTCCATGGAAAACCCGTGAGTATCTTCAAGAATGAGACAAGTACTTAGCCCACCACCAATCTCGCTGATCAATTAGGAGAAGCCGACAGTGACCAAACGTCATAAGCAAGAATCTGGGCCAATATCATTAACAAAAAAGCAAGATCGGATGATTGGGTTTTGGAGGACGCTCTGGGTTTGTGAATTGTTAGCTGATGCCCAACTCTTTCGTTGAAAAAGAGGGATTTTGGAGTTGAAAAAAGGGAAAAGAGACAAAATAGAAGAAGAAAGAAAGCAAAGCAAACAAAAGGAAGTACTTTACAGGGTTTCTGTGTTCTCTCTTGGGCTTGGAGCAACTCAAGAACTAGTTTTTTCTTTTTTGTGTTGGGTGTATTGTTGGGAATTCAATTATAAAAATCTAATTTTATTTTGGTTAGTTTGTATTTGATTTTCAGGTGGCTTGGGCTGATGTTCTTTGTACGCTGGCTGGCTGGTCGCCGGCCAGAATAAAGTCAAAAGCCCTGGAAGCCGGCGCATCAATCGATGCTCTGCCAAGTGGCACTACCCTCCAAGTCTTGAGTTTTGTTTGTTTATTTAATATACGACAATTATATTTTATTTTCATGGATGTGCTCTTATATAGATCGTTAATCTTGCGTACAAGCAATAGCAATTTCAAACAATCGAATACTCCAAAATTAAATATTAAAATACAGGTAAGAGACTATAAGTTCAATGCCAATGGTCAATTGGTATGAAAATCCATAGTGTGTTTTTTTTAAAAAGAGAGAAAATCCTTGCCCATTGGATTTATTCTTCCGTTACTTTTCTTTTGCCTAATGCATATCCTCTATTTATGGTCCTTATATCATTCCTATATTCGGCTAATGCATCCCGCTAAAAAAAGAAAACAAATTCAATCACAATTTTCACAACCTCAAAGTGCATATTAAAGATAGGAAAATGGGGAGCTGAATTTCTAACATTGAGTACAAAAGTAAAGAGCACGATTATTTTGGGCACTACTAGCTCTCGATCATCATCAACATTTTTCTAGCACGATGTTGATGTTGAAACGGAATGAAGTTGCCCTATTTATATTTTGTTTATATACGGAGCCTCATTTCATGACAAAAGAAAGAAAAAAGGAATGCAAAAGTAAAGTGCTACATTTGAGATATAAGTTATGATAAGGTTCTTGATGCTCAGATATATAATCACAAGGGCAAATTGAGGTCAACCCCGAACTCATTTATTTGTATGGTCCTTATAAAAATGGAAGGTGACTTTATGCGAGGTTGGTGTGAGTTCAATGATTATCGGGTATGCGCCATGATGTAACTAAAAAAAGTTTGTCCCTCTACAAATGAAAGGGCATGGCATTGATTGCGCAAAAAAGAGAGAGAGGAATATATGCCATTGTGAGTGAGTGAGTGAGTGAGTGAGTGAGTGAGTGAGAGCGAGCAACTTAGCAAACAAAGCATAGCTGATTAGCGAATGGTGATGCTGGATCAATCAATCAACTGCTTAAAAAGGAACAAAATCATTGAAAAGCCTAAAGCCTAACGTAATTATATATTGTGATTAATAATTTAATAACGTGATTTCGCAACCTAGTGGGCCTGACTCACGCAACTCCGTTGGTTTGGTTAGCACGAGTGGTCCCCTCTCGTGGGTTATCATCTAATTTAATACCCATTTTATAGCCTTCTTAATTCTAATGGGTTTATGGTCAATATTCGGCTGGCAGCGGCAGGCAAGCATATAAATATAATTGTAATATTCATGTTCATTATAAGTCATCAATGATTGGCAAAGTCCTCAATATCGCGTAAACAATTCTACACAATTTTTTTTTTATAGTTGGCATTGTTACCATTGGTACCATTGGTACATGCATGATGCGTCATACATACATGGAGTTCAAGCAATGACGAGGTCTTTTGATATTAAACACAACCCTAAGAGCATTTCCAACCGATGTATCAACAGTGCCATATAGATATTTAACGGCTAGAAATAATATTTCACATCACTCCAACTGATGTGTCAAAGTTGATGTAGAATGAAGGCCGAAGGTTGAGATGTTATTTTTGGCATCCCAAAAGCAAGATGTCAAATGAATATTTTATTATTTTATTATTCTCTTTTTAATTAAAATTAAATCAACACTAAAATGTATTAAAATAATAATTTAATTTGACATATCGGATGGAGTGTAAAGCTGTGTAAGATGTCAAATTGCCACATCAGCTATCAAATTTAAATTTGATGTTTAGTATTTGATGCTCTAACTCAAACCTGGACGTGCAAATTTCTTTTACATATTTCCTTCAAAATTATAGCCCACCCAAGCTTGAAGCCTCCTTCTTCAGCCTTTTTCCCAAGCCCCAAACCCCACTTGCAAGGCCCAACCCAAACCAAATTTCAATTTAAACAAAAACTGCAACTAACGAGTAATTTAAAGAGATTTTATCAAAAATTGCCAAAATATAACCAAAAGTAGCCAAAAACTCACTTGATAGACTTAAATGCCTTCAAAACAAAACCCACCCACGTAAACCTAAAAGGCAAAAGCCTATTAGATAAAACTTTGAGAATATTTAATTTATAATTTTATTTAGATCATTTTGTTGATTTTTTCGTTCTGCACACATACCTCTAACTTAGAGAAACCATGGAAGATGTAAAGTTATAGTGAATATCTTTGGATATTGTAAACAAATATTCAAGTAAACCAAATATCTTTGGTTTTATACATGCACCGATCCAAGATATAAAGATTTAATGGTGCGATAGAAGGGGATGCCAGGGGTGTGATTCAAGCAGTCCTTCATCTTGTTGAAAATAGATGGGCTTTTTAAGGGATGATGGTTTGCAGATTGCTATTGTAACAGACAGTAGTTAGTTAAGTCTTGCCTTTTTTTTTTTTTTTTGTTCCTAGACCAGAAAACTCAGCAGCACATTTTCAATGATGATTTGGTGCAATTTTGTTTTGTTATCAATCTATCTCGCATTTTTATAATAATTATAAATTAAAAAAAGAAATAGAAAACGTAGTAATACTGATAAATAATAAAAATTGAACTTTTGGAATATACGCTACAGATCATGAGTATTCCCTGAACGCTTCTTTTGTTTTTAAGGTTTTTGTGAGTTTTAGAATTAAGGGTATTCAAGTCTATTCATGTGATTTTTTTGCGATATTTGAAAGTTTTTATAAAAATTGACATAAATTTGGGCTATTTTTGATAAAAACTCTAATTTAAAAGCTTGAGCTGTTGAGCAATAGTTGCAAATCTAAAACACGCACAACGGCTCAATGTAAAAGAGGTCAGAAACACTTAACATGAAAAAGGTATGTCATGCGTGACAATTTTTTAATATGACAGTCTGTAATTGGTTAAGTATAACAAAATAATGTTACTCGTGTTTCATACAAGTTTATGAATTGAAGGGTATAATAAGCAACGAGGTATAATCTAATGAAAAAGAGTGTTGACTTGGTAGACTAGTGATATTATATTCGAACCGCTATGACATCAATGTGTGTAAGAAAAACCTCATCTCATAACAAACAAGAACAACAATTAATAAGCATGAAAATATTTGAGCCAACTCAAGTCACTGATTCATTTCGCACGTAGTCGTAGAAGAAAGTGACCAAACAAGATAATAGAGTCGTGAAGCCAACAAGATAGCCTTTTGTCAAAATCATATGAAAGGGTCCTCCTCCTCTCCGGCTCCGCCTCTTCCCCTATCTTCTCCTCATGTGATTTGTCTTTTCAGTACACACTCTCGACGTGTCATAAAATTTATAGTTGTGGACAGCATCCGTGTCGACTTCTCCCACATGATTTAGAGACTGCGAGTCCCATTTTACCCTCACCACCAAAGCACACAAGAACAAACTAATTTGGGACATAAGTGTCCTTTTCAACACCATTTGCCAGGCATGACAAGGCAACAGTACCAAAACTATCAGAAGGCTTTCAACTCCCTCCCTAATTCGAGCCCTTTCTCTGCTGCTTAAATTTGCTCAACCCAGAAAAGCCAGAACTACTTTCTTTACTCTCTCTCTCTCTGTGTAATTCAAGAAAGAAGAAAAAGACGAAAATGGCCTTCGCTTCGCAGCTAAACCAATTCCCCTGCAAGACGCTATCGCTAAACCCAGCGCACCACCGTCTTGCCTCCAAGCCCTCCTCCCTCTTGTTCGCGCCAAACTCTATCGGGCTCGCCGCCAAATTCAACAACCAATTGAAATTCTCCAACCATGAGTTCGTCGGGACCCGACCTACGACACGGCTCCGGGTGGTGGACGAGGACGAACGGGGTCCCGAGAAGGAGACCGAGTCGGCTGTGGCTGTGGCTGAGGATGACAAGCCGGCTGAGCCCGAGCCAGCCGAGACCAGTAGGCTGAAGAAGGCTCTGGTAGACTTGTTTTATGGAACTGATCGTGGACTGAGCGCCACCAGCGAGACCCGGGCCGAGATTGTGGAGCTTATTACTCAGTTGGAGGCCCAAAACCCGACCCCGGCTCCGACCGAGGCCTTGCCTCTGCTCAATGGCAAATGGATTCTAGCGTACGTAATTAGTCCCATCCATCCATCCCCTTTCACCTAAAACCCTAATTTGACTTTTAATTCGCAGACTGAGTGTTGAAGACAATTGTTTTGCAGGTACACTTCGTTTGCAGGTCTGTTTCCATTGTTGTCCAGAGGAACTCCATTGGTGAAGGTGGAGGAGGTTTCGCAGACGATTGACTCTGAGAATTTCACCGTACAAAATTCTGTTCAGTTTGCTGGGCCATTAGCTACCACTTCTATTAGCACTAACGCCACATTTGAAGTTCGAAGCCCAAAGCGCGTCCAGGTCTGGTCAATTCATTTCCCTTTTCTTTGCTTCCAGTAGTGTTTGCATAAATATGATTGGAGTTACTTTCTACACAAAACCAAATCAGATTAATTAATTAGAGAATATAAAATGATCGTTTTCATTTCATAACAACAATTGTGTGTCCTAGTGTTTATGTCACTCTGGAAAGCTGACTTTAAATGAGTTTTTTTTTGTTTTGGTTTCCCCCGTTAATTTGTTGATTCAGATTAAGTTTGAAGAAGGCGTAATTGGGACTCCCCAGCTGACAGACTCACTAGTGATACCAGAAAATGTTGAGTTTCTAGGACAAAAACTTGACCTCACAGTCTTCAAAAGTTTGCTCACCTCTGTTCAAGACACTGCTTCATCTGTTGCAAAGACCATATCCAGCCAACCCCCGTTTAAGTTTTCCATCTCAAACAGCAAAGCTGAATCATGGTTACTAACCACGTACCTTGATCCCGAGCTTAGGATTTCAAGGGGAGACAACGGCAGCGTGTTCGTGCTGATCAAGGAAGGCAGCTCCCTCTTGACCCCCTGATCAAACTCACACACAATGTACTTGTTCAAGGATAGGGGGATGTAATTTTCTATAATGAATGATATGAATAATTTAATCACTGGATTGTACGTATAGTTCACAAACTCTTTGGTGACAGAACATTTCTTGAGGAAAAATGTTGTGCATTAAACTTGAGTTGTCAAGGATAAACAAACATGGCTCCCCTGTTTCAGTTTTGTCAAAATTTACGCATTTCTTGAACAGAGGGATTGCACAGCCAGATACGGATGAAACAAGGGATTTGAATAATGTAACAATAGTAAGAAGGAACAACATCAACAGCCATGGGCACGGCAACCCCATTTAAGTTGTAAACCCACAAGTTAAATGCGGCTTTCTTAATTTCATTCAAGGACATTAGCCCTTAGGAATCATGTGGTGCAAGCAGAATCAACAAACTTCAGCTAAGTAACCTTCTTTTTTCTTCTCTCTCTCTCTCTCTCTCTCTCTCTCTCTCTCTCTCTCTCTCGGAAAGAGCATATACAAATAGTAACTTTAGATATTCGTTTTATGCTTTATATTTTCCAACTTTGCTAATTTATTAAGCAAAGTATTGTATATCAAAGTCTTCAATCTTAAACAAATGAACTAAGCAAAGGCAGATCCCTGTACTGTTCGGATCCTGTATACAGCTAGTAACCTTCAATATTTGTTTATGCTTTACAATTTTCAACTTAGTTAATTTATCAAGCAAAGTATTATATATCAAATTTTAACAGTAGCACATAAGAATTTCATGTACATGAAGGAGCAGCTAGCCTAGGTATAAAATGAAGCAAAAACCACCACACAGAGCAGGATAAAGTAGGGATGGAGGACTTAGAGATAGAGCACGCAGATATGGCGTACTGGATAACGGAAGATGTTCTTAAAGAAGAGGGAGTGGGAGAGAGTGCAAGTAAAATTGAAGAACTGAAACTTCCTTATGATCTAGCCATGGAGAATGACTGGGAAGGCATGAAGAGATACTATGTGGACAATCGGCAAAATCTGAATTGTCCAATGACAGTGGACGAAGACACTGCATTGCACATTGTAGCTTCCTGCTGCAGGAGCAAATCACAGGGCAAACAAGTCCTTGAATTCTTGATTAATTTACTGCCACCTAGCCATGATGAAAGATGCAAGGCCGTGAGGGTTCCAAATAAACTCGGCAACAACGTTCTTCACGAGGTGGCAATGTCCGGCAATCTGGAGGCAGCAACTTTCTTAGTGAGCAACTTCAACAAACCCGCAGGAAAAACTAGAAACGAGGAGAATTCTACACTGCCTCTGCTAGATGTTCGGAACGAATTAGGAGAATCGCCATTGTACAGGGCTGCTGCTCTTGGTCACCCTGACCTTGTCCAGTTTTTTGCTGACAAACTGGAGGAGAATCCGGAGAATCTTCGCAGGCACTTCCACCGAAATGATAGAATGTCCATTCTTCATATCGCAGTCATTGGCCAACAATTTAGTCTCTCTCTCTCTCTCTCTCTCTCTCTCTATATATATATATATATATATATATATATATACAGTCCACATTAATTTATACAACTGTTCTTTTGGCATCCAATATGCAGGGACTGCTCTTTGGTTGCAGAGTAAGTACCCATTTCTTGCAACTAAGTGGGAAGGTAAAGGATTGACAAGCCTTCAATTGCTAGCCCAAATGCCAACTGCCTTCACACCACAATTTCAACAAAGCAGTTGGAAGATGCTCATATATTATTGTATGATGGTTAAGCCTTGCAGTTTAATTACAGCACATCAGTTAACAGATGCTCAAGTTTTATGACATTGACATACATATTAATTCTTGTTATACATGCTGCTGCAGGCCTTCCTGCTCGAGACCTGGAGGTCACAACAAATCATAAGGATGATGTGGAGAGCAGCTTGGGCAGCAACCAACCCCCCCAAGCCATCTCTTGGAATAAGCCTGAAGGTAATCAAAATCATTGGTGATCTAAGTAATTTTTAACCAGATTTTTTGAACTAATATTTATATATTATACATACAAGTTTAATATAGATAGGACCCTGATGAAGATGCATGCATAACATTGCAGGTATTCTGAAGGTGTACACTTCCCTGTGGGACTTCCTTGCTGAAGGTTGCTTAGTTTCTGGCTTTTATATACTTTATGATGCATGCATGCTTGCTTATTTAATTTCTCTTTCATTTGATTCTCTTATACAATAACTAATCTTGTATAAGCTTGGCCATGATGGATAGAAATGGACATAATCGAAAAGATCTGGAAGGATAAGAGAATTAAACATGCTCTTAAAAAACTCATCCCTTTGCTCATCGAGAAAGACAATTCGTGGCAGAATTCTAAAGAAGCAAAAGGCAAGACGATTTCTCTGGGGTCAGTGGAAAATCTTTGTAAGGGTGATAATGATGGAGGAGATCAAAAAGGAAAGGATTCCGCAGAACCAAGCAATTCTAAGAAGCAGAGCATTTATAAGTATAACCCATTGCTTATAGCAACTATCACTGGAATTGTGCCTATTGTTGCAGAGATACTTAGGCAGCATCCTCAGGCAGCTGAGCACGTTAGCGATAGTGAACAGAACATTTTGCATCTGGTCATTAAGCACCGTCAAAGAGAGATCCTTGAGCTTCTAAAAAGGAAGCCAACAACCATCTCAAGGTTGAATGAGATGATTGACAGTGATGGCAACACCATATTGCACCAAGCTGCAGATAGGAGCTACTACTCTGTAGCAATTTCTCAGAATTTAATTGGTCCAGCCATGCAATTGCAAGCAGAGTTGCGTTGGATGATGGTGAGATCCCTTTTATATTCACATTTACTTAGTTATACATTTCTTCTCTGAACGAGAAGGACAGACTGACAATAGATAAAACAAAATGTTCATGCTAACCAATTGGCCGTTGTGAGGTTTCTTAACTTTCCAATGCAGAACATTCTTCCCATACTCATAAATTGCTAGTCCGTTGGTCAACTTGATAAATGTGTGTGTTCTTTTGTCCAGGGTGTGAAGAACATATTACCACCTCATTACATCATGCACCACAACAACAAGGATCAGACAGCGGAGGAGCTGTTCAATGATGAGCATAATGAGCTTCTGAAGTCAGCACAAGAATGGATAAAAGACACAGCTGAGTCGTGCTCAACTGTGGCGGTGTTGGTGTGCACTGTGGTCTTTGCAGCCGCCTACACCATGCCTGGGGGTAACGAACCAAATGGCCTTCCTGTTTTCCATGATTCTCCTCTCTTCTGGCTCTTCACCTGCATGGACGTCGTGGCCATTGCCTGCTCATTGTCTTCCGTAGCCTTTTTCCTCTCTATCCTGTCCTCTCCCCTTGAGTATCCGTTTTTCTGTCAAGTTCTTCCCCGCAAGCTCATGATCGGGTTCACCTTGCTCTTCTTGTCAATGGCAACCACCATGCTCGCCTTTGCTGCTACCATTTTGCTTGTGATTCGTATCGAGAAGAAATGGACTAAGTCTCTGCTTTACTCTATTGCCTTTTTTCCAGTCCCTCTATTTGGCTTGCTGCAATTTCCTATGTACCAGTCTTTCAAAGAAATATATCATAAAATTACCAAGATTTTCCGTCCCTTCTTCGTTCCCTTTCTCGGCTTTTCCAAGAGGAGATCGATATGTGGTAAGAGCAAGGCTAACTGAATCACAAAACTAGAGTGAAGCAGTACTATATGATGATTTGTACAATTTTAGTGCGTCTTCAATCTTCATTCGCAATTAATATGGACAATAAGAAGAATATTGAAGGCCCTTGTCATTAATTGTATGCTAATAAAGATTCAGTATCATGCTTTTGTTTGATTTGCAATTGTGATTTGGGTTTATTATATACAAGTTTGTATCTGCTCTGGCTAAGGTGTCTGTCTAATGTTTATTTTGCATATAAGACTTGCTTCTGTGTCTTTAAATTTGGTGCTTTGTCCTGCTTGGGAAAAGATTAAACGCTGTTAAATGTTATTAACCACTTGAGTCAACCATAAACACATATTACCATGAAAATCGGCTCATGAATGAAGTTACATAAGGACAACTACAATGGCAAATTTTTCAGTATCATCCCATAATCCTCCTTTCATTTGTATGCTCAAATAATTGGCACTGTTTCATCAATTAATGGAATTTACATAAGAATAAATCAGAACAAACTTGATGAAACACCTCCGTATATATACCATTTTCATACTCTGGCATGGAATGTTTTCAATTGGAGAAAACTTGAGTTCTCACTTGGGCCAGGTTCTCAGGGACAAATAAATATACGCCCCATTTGAAGTTCGAAGCCCCAAGCGCGTCCTGGTTTGGTCAATTCATTCCCTTTTCTTTGCTTCCATTAGTGTTTTCATAAATAAGATTTTAGGTTTGATTCTTCCTCTGCTAATATGGCTTGTAAAAATAAAAATAAAAATATAAGACCGGTTACTTTCTGCAGAAACCAAATCAAGGGAGACAACCCCCGTTTAAGATTTTCCATCTCAAACAGCAAAGCTGAGTCATGGTTGCTAACCACATACCTTGATCCCGAGCTTCGGATTTCAAGGGAGACAACGGCAGCGTGTTCGTGCTCATCAAGGAAGGTAGCTCCCTCTTCACTCCCTGATCAAACTCATACACACAGTAAGTTTTTATTGTGTGTTATGTACTTGTTCAAGGATAGGGGGATGCAATTTTCTATAGTGAATTATATGAATACTTCAATCACTGGGTTGTACGTATAGTTATACATTCTTTGGCGACAGAGCATTTCTTAACTTAAATCATGTGATGCACGCAGAATCAACAATCTTAAGCTGATTAACTAAGCAAAGGCAGATACTTTCTTTTTTTCTCATTTTTTTTATAAAACTTTCGGAAAGAGCATATACAAATAGTAACTTTAGATATTCGTTTTATGCTTTATATTTTCCAACTTGGCTAATTTATCAAGCAAAGTATTGTATCAAAAAAAGTCAGATCCCTGTACTGTACGGATCCCGTACACAGCTAGTAACCTTCAATATTCGTTTATGCTTTATATTTTTCAACTTAGTTAATTTATCAAGCAAAGTATTATATATCAAATTTTAACAGTAGCACATAAGAATTTCGAGTACATGAAGGAGCAGCTAGCCTAGGTATAAAATGAAGCGAAAACCACCACACAGAGCAGGATCAAGTAGGGATGGAGGACTTAGAGATAGAGCACGCAGATATGGCGTACTGGATAACGGAAGATGTTCTTAAAGAAGAGGGAGTGGGAGAGAGTGCAAGTAAAATTGAAGAACTGAAACTTCCTTATGATCTAGCCATGGAGAATGACTGGGAAGGCATGAAGAGATACTACGTGGACAATCGGCAAAATCTGAATTGTCCAATGACAGTGGACGAAGACACTGCATTGCACGTTGTAGCTTCCTGCTGCAGGAGCAAATCACAGGGCAAACAAGTCCTTGAATTCTTGATTAATTTACTGCCACCAGGCAATGATGAAAGATGCAAGGCCGTGAGGGTTCCAAATAAACTCGGCAACAATGTTCTTCACGAGGTGGCAATGTCCGGCAATCTGGAGGCAGCAACTTTCTTAGTGACCAAATTCAACAAACCTACTAGTAACGAGGAGAATTCTACACTGCCTCTGCTAGATATTCGGAACGAGTTAGGAGAATCGCCATTGTACAGGGCTGCTGCTCTTGGTCACCCTGACCTTGTCCAGTTTTTTGCTGAAAAACTGGAGGAGAATCCGGAGAATCTTCGGAGGCACTTCCACCGAAATGATAGAATGTCCATTCTTCATATCGCAGTCATTGGCCAACAATTTAGTCTCTCTCTCTCTCTCTCTCTCTCTCTCTATATATATATATATATATATATATATATAT